AAGCGCACCAACGTCGTCGTCTTTACTTAAAATCGTAAATTCAAATTTCTAGATGACGGCGACGCAGGACTATGACGTGGCCAAACGGCGTCGTCGTGCGAAAGTCGTCAATTCGTAAGCTCCCTATTGGTGTCCCAAAACAATGAAACGGCGGCCATGTTGGTGTCCCAAACCAGTCCCCTGGGAGTTGAACTCGTTTCTTATGCAAACGCTTTCTTTTGTTACAATAGATTTGCATATATGCTGGCCACGTGAGTGAAAACACTCTATAGCCAACAGTTTTAAATTTCAACTTTACTTTATACAAACGCCAGAATTCGTGTGGCTCAATTCAAATGATTTCAGAAGTTTGATTTTTCCGTTTGGTTTACTTTTCCTTTACAAACTGTACATTAAGCAAGGTAAGAATACTGTCTTATTTTCGAAAAAAGAATCCTCAAATTATTTGAAGATTCTGAGCAGTTCTGAAGGTCGATCGAGCGAGTCTGTCCTACCAAGAGAGGATAAAGGGGACAGAGAAGGCATCCCCCATACACACCCTATTCCATAGGTAATTCGTCTCGAGTTATTTTTAAGACCATAGATCCCAAGGTGGATTAGACAACAGCCAATCACATAGCGCGGATATGTTATGCGTGGATGACCCCCGCTCAGAGCCTCGCGTCCTTCACGAATTGACACAGAAAAAAAAATGGAGGAAGACGCGGAGAGCGATATGGCTATTTGAGTTTGTCGACGAAAACTACTAAAGAGAGATTTCTGCTAAAGCTGTGTCAGCGAGACCCTTCCTCTCTTTTATAGAGCTAACAGTACAGCAGGGAAATCCTTAACACACTGAATATTCTCTCAGGATCATTTATAATTTACATTTTGAAGAGAAGCAATTTCTGGTTTGATATCATTCTTTTATTAGTCTTTTATTATTCAACAAAAATAACACTTGGCGTCCTACTTGCTTTATTATACAAACGACCGGTTTCAACAGACTGGCGAAATTTCTCATTTTATTAAAGCACTGAGGCTACGACAACTTCGAGTTAAACTGATTTCAAGGGTTGTCAGAGTCCAGCGATTCCCTTTTCCCAGATCAGCGGCGACTCATTTAATTTCACTTCAATATTCAGAAATGTTCTCGATCTCTTTACGCTTTCATTGCCTTTCGCCCGACATGTTTTGCACGGCGTTTAGTCATGTGAATTGATAACTTTTATCGCTTTTACTTCATTTAATTCATCTAAGTTTCAAACTCTTTTTTTCTCATACAAATTCTCATATTACGCTTGGGCCACCGGTGGAACAGCTTGCTGATAAACGTCATGCATCAACAATGAGAAGCGAATAACGGTAGAGAATTAAATTTGGTGTTTAAATATAGTAAATCACCTTGAACTGTATCAAAGGAGAGCGAACTTCGCCCTTCAGATAAAATATTTGACGAGAACCACAAAAACAACGGCGGAAACCTCCCCTCTCCCAAAAAAAGTTGTTCAAAAAGTCTCAAAGAGATAGCCTCATAAGTTCAAACCGTCTCTTTAGGCGTTGAGCACGCGCAGATAAACGTTACATTTTGTCTTTATGACGTCAATTTTTTTTACTCTTTTCACGTCAGGAAGCGAGATGAATCGTGTCGCATTTGGGAAGAAGAAAATTAAGATGTTCTTGACAAAATAAAAATCTTTTTAATCGAAATTGGTCTGCTCCTAAGAGTGTTAGGAACTTCAGCTGCCGCGGAAAACATCATTAAGCAAGGTAAGAATACTGTCTTATTTTCGAAAAAAGAATATTCAAATTATTATTTTATCTTGCGTAAGCTGGAGTAGAAAAGACGCAAGGCGAAAGCAAAAATCGTTATTTTTCCTAGTACAACTATAATTCAGTTCCCTCTCTTACTGTAAAATACTGCGCCAATAGATGTTACATTCCAAAACATTGAGAACTAGTTAAAATTGATCAGTGTCAAATTAAACGTCATTTCTTTCATTCAAAATTTTCTCTTCTTGACCCCTGCTCGCTGGGAAAGGTTACATTTGGTTTGATTTTACTTAATCTGTGGTTGCCTATTGTTCCTAAAATGATGAGGGCTCTTGCGCGGACACTCAAAGTAACATGTAAGTATGCAACGTCACATTGTAAAAACGTTTTTAAACCAGTTTTCTTGTCAGATTCATTTTAATCACGGTAGATCGATGCAAGGCTTTGAGACTCAATTTGTTTTAGTCATATTTTCCGGTTAAAATAGACCTGAATTATTACTAAAAAAAATAACGGAAACAAATTTCGGTAAGCTGCGAGGCGCGATTTAGTTTGCAGTAGTATATTTTTGTAATTCGTGTTACGCATAGATTATTTCCCTTTCATTTGCGGCTTGCCTTGGCTCTTTGTTCGCAGTGAGTTTTTTCACTTAATTTGGGGTGTGCGTTATTCTTTTCATTTGCAGTGTGCGGTAATTTTTTTTATTCGGTGTGTAGCGTTTCACTTTATTGTGTAGGAGTGAATTCGTTTTTCATTGGCGGTGCTGGTTTAATTTTATTCGTAGTGTATTTGATTTAGTTTGCAGTAGTATATTTTTGTAATTAGTGTTAATTTAAGTTTGTAGCGCTGTCCCTTATGGGCCACTGTAGTATCTAACGTTTGCCTTACAGATTGCTCTGTGAAATTCGCAAACGCGGGCTAGAGAAAAAATGTGACTTGTTACGTCAAGAGAAACTACGCGAAGGAGCAGCTCAAAAGAAACCATGGAAACCGACACCACCTAAAAAGAAACAAACTAACTATTGTGGCAAATAACAAAAATAGTAGCTTTGACCGCAATTATGAAGGACAAACGCTTTCTTGTTATATTATTTCGTATTTGATTCATGCTATTTTCCAAGATATCCTTTGTATACTACGTAAATAAATGTATGACTTGTTTTCATACATTGTCAAGTGAGTGAGTTTAAACTTGCCGCCAGGAATATGAAATTAAAGCTTCTTACCACAACAAATTACCTTTACTGGGTTTCGCGGAGAAAAAAAAATACTTCCTTTCATTTCTGGATTATGTATCTGACATTCCTTTCTAGATCTCTTCACTACAACATCTCAACAACAATAATATATAAGCCTTATTTGCATATAGATCCCCAAAGTCGACCAATTTTTCCAAACGTTTGGTGCTTCCCACAATACAAACGTCTGTAAAATTTTGCGACTTTAGAGGCTAATGTGTTTGTTCTTTTTCAACAAATCATTCAGAAACTTTGGGCAATGTTTTTCTTCCCTAGCCCATTTTTCACCGATGTCGATGGATTTTCACCAACTGTTCCAAGTCAAAACTTGAAAAAATCGTTGAAGAGTCCATTGTGGAATGAACTTCCATCCGCTGAGCTAGTCGTGGATCAACTTTCATTGATATTTTTTTAATCAAGGCTGAAAATATTTTTAGCTAAAGAAGTGATATCTTTTGTATTTAAACACGTTCGAATGTATTTGTATAGATAGTTTACTTAGAACATAACAGACACGCAGGTGTTTGTGTTAATGTTAATCCCTAAAAAAATGTGTGTTTTTTTTACAATCGATTCAGATAAACGACAGCTTGCGCTAGGACAAATAACTAATCAATTGCGACAGTTTTGTTAAAATAAAATACGACGGTGCTATCAAAAAAATTCGAAAGGTATTAAAACAATTACCTTTTGACAGAAGGTGTCTATTATTCACCTTTTTCCCACCCAATTTTTGTCGCGACAGTAAGGAACCTAACATAAAAAAATTAAAAGCAATGTACCATAATTATCATACATTATCATACAGTCCAAGTTAAGATACAGGGCACGATATATGAAAGCTATACACAATTTGGCAATTTTATTTGAGGAGTGCCGTACATGCCGTGCGGTACGAAACTGTATAGTAATAAAAATGCCACGTTGACACCAGACAACCTTGACTATGAAAGCTATACGATATATAACCGAAATATGAAAGTCAGTATATGTACATTGTGGGTGGCACCTCCTAAAACGTTCTACTATTGGTGTAGGATGGAGCCGAAACGAATTGCGGACTTGCACACATTTTAGGCATCCTACTGATGAACAGTTACGACTTTTAGATATTTCGAGCAACAACAATTTGCGGTCTGTCTTCTTTGAATTAAAATGAATGGACTCATCGAAAGGACTCGGTTAGCGATAACATACTCAGAGTTCAATTTCATGATGATTTACACTACCGCGCTGTCCAATTTTCTTGTGGCGCACTCTAACGTTTGCAGCCATTCTAGTTCTCGAGTTTAAACCAAAATTAATACAACACTATCCTTTTCCATTTGCTTTTATTTTACGGTTCATAGTACACATAACTCGTAAAGTATTCAGTAACCCATTTGATGAATCAATGTTTTGAATAATTTCAAACGGTTGTTCTCCTGTTTACTCGGAATACCTTCTGTCATACGTTTATCTAAAACTCGTTTGAAAAGTCTTGTATGTTAACTGGCACGCAATCTTAAATCAGTTCTCCGTGGACAGAAATCATCTACTGGTTGTTGAAGTTGCTGCTGGTGCTATGGTATATGTGTTTCTTCCACTTCTTCTTCTTCTTTTTTTTCTTCTTCTTGTTCTTGTTCTTCTTCCTCCTCCTCCTCTTCCAATTCTTCTCCTTCTTCTTCTTCTTCTTCTTAGTCTTCGTCGTCGCCTTCTTTTTTTCCTTCTTCGTGGTCTTCTTCTTCTTCTTCTTGCAGTTATTATTATTATTATCTATTTGTTTCAATCGTTCTATTTCTGAAAACAGCCAACAAGCAACAGTTTTAATTACAAGTTTTTCTTGTTCAGCTTTCCTGTCTTAATCCGCAGTTGCCGGCAGTTCTCTTAGTTTTGAAAGGGTCTACATAGTACGTCTATCATGGCCTGCCGAATGCGTCTCATCTTCCAGCAGTAAATCAGTGGACTCAGAGACGAATTGAGTACAAGCAAAACAGTAAGGTGGAGGTTTACCTTATATGCCAATACAAATCGCTTAATATCAATTATTTTTTCGGCAACACTGAAACAAATCCTTGGTAGGTAACAAGCCAGAAATGTGAGATACACATAAAATACGCCGAATGCAGCTTTTCTCTCTCTTGCTGCATTTACCGCTTCATTCCTCTCTTCGCTTTCACCTGGTACGTTTTGAACTTGGGCTGCGTGCTGTCGCAAGGCTAAAAAAATCTTGAAGTAAAACAGGCCTGACATGATGAGACAAATGAACTGAATGGTAACAAAAAAAATGAAAATCTTGTTCTCTGGGAACCACTCAAGAAATCGAATCAGCGGAAGGACGGCGCTCAACAGCCAAAATGAAATGACCCCAGCAATGGCGCGTTTATGAGTTACTGCATCCTGGTACCGGAGCTGAAGGCGTATAACCAAAAATCTGTCAGCACTCAACGCCACGATGCTAAAAAACGAAGCATACGTTAGGACGTTGGCCACGACTCTGTACACGTCAAATATAGCTTCATGGTGATCAAGAAAAATATATGAGGAAAGGAAATTTATGTCGCTGACAAGGAGATAAATGTTTAGTGGCTGCGCTACTAAACCAACACCAAGGTCGGAGACAGACATACTCAGAAGCAATGTTTTCAGAGTTTTTCTTGGCAAGGAAGGAATATTTCTCAGCGCGAGTATTACTAAAACGTTTAGNAAATGAAATGACCCCAGCAATGGCGCGTTTATGAGTTACTGCATCCTGGTACCGGAGCTGAAGGCGTATAACCAAAAATCTGTCAGCACTCAACGCCACGATGCTAAAAAACGAAGCATACGTTAGGACGTTGGCCACGACTCTGTACACGTCAAATATAGCTTCATGGTGATCAAGAAAAATATATGAAGAAAGGAAATTTATGTCGCTGACAAGGAGATAAATGTTTAGTGGCTGCGCTACTAAACCAACACCAAGGTCGGAGACAGACATACTCAGAAGCAATGTTTTCAGAGTTTTTCTTGGCAAGGAAGGAATATTTCTCAGCGCGAGTATTACTAAAACGTTTAGAACTACGGCGGTAAAAGCCAAGATGGAACCCGCGATGCAAGCGACCAGTGTGTGGTAATAAAGTTCCGAGCGGTGCATTCTTTATCTTGGAACCGAACGCTCTTTTCTATCTTCTCTGTCAGAGAAATTTCATTGTACGTTTCAAAGCGATGAATACTTTTAAAGTATATGATTTGTTTGTTTTCAACAAGTCAGCTATTTGAATGCTTCGTTGTTTCTCCTTTTCACTTCCAAATGTTTGTTCTGATACGCTCAAACGCACTCTTCAACGATGAAAAGCGATTATTTTTCCCACTACGATTCACTTGTTACTATGCCTATATACATGAGCCAAACCATGTGATAGTGCTGAAAAAATTGATTGATTAAAATGATTTTTTGATCTGACAAGAAAGAGAAAGGTCTTCCAAATTGTCTATGATGGTCCACCAGTGGCAAGCGAGAAAAATAACAACCGTTAATTTTCGGAGTGAGTTTTGTCAGCATTGGCGTTGGTCATACTGTTTTCCTCTGCACTTATAAGAGAACGAGAAAATTAATTTGATGATAGAGGGGAAATTGAGCCTACATTTAATAGCGACGCCGAACAAATTGAGGTAAAGGATCAAATTACGACCACGCCAACACAAATATTGCCGCTCCTTGCTTAGATGGTCCGGCAGGTGTCTTTTCTCCCGTTTAATGTAAAGAAAGAACTCAAGTTAATTTATAAAGAAAAAAAGGAAAGAAAAAATTTTCGAAAACTATACGTGCCAGCAAGTTAACATGGCAAGGAACCGACTGCACTGCAGATAAACAACGCTCACCTCGATCGTAGCCGCTGTTGACAGCATTTGCAAGAAGCGATTAAAAAAAACTGTCTCATTCCCGGAGCAGAGTTGACAGAAGCAAATAAAGCTCTGTGTTTCTTCTCGGAAAGGGGAGTTATTTAAACTTGCAACGTTTTCTTTTCAATCATTAATGCTAAAGCTCACAAAAAAATTAAAACTAAGATTTGCCATGTTTGAAAATACAGCAAATATCCAGTAGTGTTGTGCATCTGCTGTTTACGGCTACATGTTCACCCATGAATTCACCCGTGAATCAAATTAATTGTTTCTTTCACGGTTTCCTTTCTGATTCTGTTGAGATCACTTCGTGTGCATATACTAAAACAATTATTCACCTCAGGCTCAGTTGATATTGATTAATCCCCGAGACGAAATTAATCAACAATTATTAACTTCGCCTTCGGCGAATAATTGTTAATTATTATTCATTCAAAATATTTCCCCGATTCTGATTGGCTAAAAGCACACGCATTATTCACCATAACCAGTTTTTGATGACCAAATTTGGAAGAATTTTGTGTTTAACGAGGAAATGACGTCAAAAATGCAGCGTTCGAGCAGGTTAAGGCACTGTTAACCGAGAAGACCTTGGACGAGGTTGAGTTGTTTTGCTTGTGAACTTTAAAAATGGCGGACATTTCACTCGTTTCAAGAGTTAGAACTAGGCGAAAAAATAACTAAAAACATGGCAAGAACAGCAAGAAGACAACTCGAAGCGCGACATCTGCTATTTTGAGAATATTTGCGGAGCTGTACAAACCTAAACGTGTACTATCGAAGATGAACTAAACATCGATCGATCGATGGAGGTAAGCATGTTTTAGCCATGTTTTTAAACTAGGAATTATTTTGAATGAATAATAAAACAATTATTGAATTCGGCTTTCGTATCATATGAAGAATTATGGAGATCTGGGAGGGTACCTACGGCCTCGACGGATAACACCCTCCTCGATCTCCATAATTCTTAATAAGATACTCAGCGTCCTTCATTAATTGTTAAATATTGCTCCATACACTACAAAAATACAAAAAACCCTATAAAAAAAGGGAAAGAAAAAAAAAAAGGAAGCGGACTCTTGGCACGAGATTGGGTCCGTTCCACTTATAGAAATAGATATGGTTTTTATGGAACCTGTGTTATAAGTGGTGAAGTTATGCTAGTTTAGTTTGAAAGAAAGCCTCCAATCAGCAAGCAGAGGTTTCGTTGAGGCCAGAGGCCAGAAGTAGCGTCCAGCTGTTATCGTATGTATTAGGTCCAGTGCTATCACTTTCTGAAGTAAATTAATTCAGATGTTTTTGTCTTTCTTTACGTAAATAGAGTTGATCCTTAGTTTTCTCACTTAAAATATATAACTCATCCGGTTCATGTTACAGGGAGCGCAGGAAACAAAGTTTCAGAGGGTCTAATCTCAAGAAAATTCCCATAGAAAGGGGGAGGAGCAAAGAAAGGTCTTCCCTAGAAATTCGTCCCTTTTGCAATCATCTGCGCGCCCATCTATACGGTACCCACGTCCGCTTGTTTCCAAACACCCTGAGCTCTATTTTGCCCCACATAAGGTAATTCAAAGGATTTCAGGTACTGGATTCCGGACTCGTTCCGGATTCCAATCGTTAGTGGGATTCCAGATTCCTTGAGCTGAATTTCCGATTCCAAAGTCCAGGATTCCGGATACCACGGCCAAAACTTTCCTGTATTCTGGAATTTGAATCATGAGGCGATCGATTCTCCTGCAGAAATCAGCTTAATGAACTGTGATCCTCAGGCCGATCTAACCCGGCTCTAACCACTGATTTCCAGTAACATTCTGCTGCTGTCTCTGTGACTGCCGCATTCCCAAGACAGGTTACGATAGTAAAAATGACCCAGAGGAAGACAGCGACTGCAGCGATGTTGAACGACTGGTATGCAGGGAATCCAAATTAGTATGCAGGAAGTCCAAGGGAAGTCCAAAAAGGGGCTTATCTTTGCTGAAGCCCTACTACTAATAACGTAATATAAATGAATGAAAAGACGCTAACAACTTACGTCACAACGAACATAGAAGTTCGCCACTTTCGCATTGCTCCGTAATAAACCTTTTGTGCCCCCTCCCTCCAGACCTTCCCCAAAGCAACATTGTTTCCAATTTCTCCCGGCTATTACAGGGGGAACATTACAGTAGTCCGCTCCCTGCGAAAAAAAAGAAGGCAGTGCTTATGCAAAATTTGGTGTTTATGTGTATGTGTGTGTGGGGGGGGGTGGGGGGGGAGGGGGAGGTTGAGAGACAAACAAGGTGTATAGGTGGGCAATGCAATAGTCGCGAATAGTTCATTCATAGGTTTTGTTCCTTCACGAGCTTTGGCCTTGTAATGGTAATCTCACTTTTGGTTTTCTAAGTCATATGCGATTGCATGGACAGGTGATATTGTGTATCAATTATGGTTTCTGGGTGACCACCTACCCCTCCCCTAACTCACAATTTTGCCCTAGGTGAGAAGTAAGTGTTAGCTAGTGTTGATGTTGACTTAAGGGAGGGGTAGGTGGTCAGTTACCCAGAAAACTGAATTGATCGGTACTACCACCTACAGTGGAACCCCGCCTTACGGTCACCTCGGTTATACGCTCACCTCAATATTACGGCCACTTACTTGGTCGCCCGGCAAATGATTTTTTCAGTTTTTTTTCCGTTCGAGAGAGCTCAACATAATAATGTTGGTTTTGACCTGGTTCTATTAATAATAGTTATGTAAATCGGTCGTTGGCCTGAACTTGCTTCTTAGATTACTTGGAACAGCTTGCAGATAAACGTCATGCATCAACAACGAGAGGCGGTTAACGGTAGAGAATTGAATTTTGTGTTTAAATATATTAAATTACCTTGAACTGTATCAAAAGAGAAGCGAACTTCGCCCTTCATATAAAATATTTGACGAGAAACACAAAAACAACGGCGAAAACCTCTCCTCTCCCAGAAAAAGTTAATAAAAAACCTCAGAAGTTCAAACCGTCTCGTTCGGCGTTGAGCTCGCGCGGATAAACGTTACATTTTGTCTTTATGACGTCAATTTTTTTTACTCGTTCCACGCCAGGAAGAGAGATGAATCGTGTCGCATTTGGGAAGAAGAAAATTAAGATGTTCTTGACAAAATGAAAACCTTTTTAATCTACATTGGTGTGCTCCTACAGTGTTAGGAACTTCAACAGCCTCAGAAACATCATTAAGCAAGGTAAGAATACTGTCTTATTTTCCAAAAAAGAATCTTCAAATTATTTTTTTATCTTGCGTAAGCTGGAGTAGAAAAGACGCAAGGCGAAAGCAAAAATCGTTATTTTTCTTAGTGCAACTATAATTCAGTTCCCCCTCTTACTGTAAAATACTGCGCCAATAGATGTTACATTCCAAAACATTGAGAGCTAGTTAAAATTGATCAGTGTCAAATTCATCATTTCTTTCATTCAAAATTTTCTCGGGAAAGGTTAGATTTGGTTTGATTTTGCATAATGTGGGGTTGGCTTTTGTCCCTAAAAGAATGAGGACTCATGCGCGCACACTCAAAGTAACATTCAAGCATGCAACGTCACATTATAAAAACTATTTTAAACCATTTCTCTTGTCAGATTCATTTTAATCACGGTGGATCGATGCAAAGTTTTCATACTCAATTTGTTTTAGTCATATTTTCCGGTAAAATAGACTTGAATTATTACTGTAAAAAAATAACGGAAAAAAATTTCGGTAAGCTGCGAAGCACTCCATCTAGAAAGTAGGTGAAGGAAAAAGTGTTATGTTTTATATGGAGTTTCAAAATGTTTTGGGCGTGGCCATTCACAAGTTGACTTGCCAGTACGTTAGAACTGGTCTAAGGTGTTTATGACGCTATGAATTAAAAAATAAAGCTTTGTAGTGCGCGCGCGGCGGCTTTGCGCGCGGCCTACAGGAAACGGAAGTAGTAACTGCCCCTTATTAATGTCTACAGCGAATCCAGTTCTCCTCAGTTGTGAAAGCTGCATAAAGGCATCACTCACTCTAACGTGACTGAAAACACAGAGGAACAGCTCCATCGTCGTTTCAATTTTGCAGAAGACTTTTGGTAACAACTGAGAATGAGATAATCGAGGTCGACTACATTTGTATCATTACGAAAATTCGTCCTTTTATAAGAAATAAACCACTTTATACTGAAGGATAAGTAATACTGCATGCTAATTTACCTCTGACTGTTTGCGTTTACTAGATTTTTGGGCAAGATTCCGTTCTACATTAA